TGCCCCTGATGCCCATGGCGCCCGACCGCCCCTTAGAGGCCTTCTTCGCCGCCGCCCGTGGCGCCATCGCGCACCTTCACCTTCCCGTCATCCACATGTCCGGATCCCATTCCGGTCCCAATCCCAACTCCAAGGAACCAGAGGCCGACTGCCTGCTCCACCTCCACGTCGTCGTCACCAACTTCCTCCACAAGCCCATCAAGTCATTTGCCAGGTGCTTCAAGCCCAAGCGGCGGGGAGGCAAACACTCCCCGCCGCTCCACTGGGATCACAGCAATGGCGCCACCCCGCATCAGCAGCTGGAGCTCCTGCTCTGCATTGCGTTCGACGCCTTCGCCCACAACCTGCACTTGCTGGAGGATGCCTGCAGGCAGAAAGGTGAAGAATTTGGTATGGCTACCCGACAGTTCGAGCAATTTGTGGTTCTCAGGAAGATAATCGATGGAAAGAGGGCCGATTTCGATGGGTTCCTTTCCAACCTGGGCTTTGCAAAGGTTGGGGCGCCGCCGCCACGAGCAAGGATCATGGGTGGTGCGTCCCCTGTCCCAGCACCAGCACCAGTAAGCGACCAGGAGGATGGTGCTGGAATTGGGGACAGCGACCAGGAGGATGGTGGTGGAATTGGGGACAGCGAGGCGGTGGACAATGCTAGGGGTACACAGCAGCCAGCACAAAGATTGTCTGCCCGGCTGCTTAACATTCCTTTGTCGAATGTGGAGCGTCTGCGGTCTACGCTGTCGGCAGTTTCACTCACAGAACTCATTGAATTAGTCCCGCAGCTGGTGAGCAGATCATCAACATCGGCAGATGCACATCCTGACAAGAAGAAGCTTTTCTCAGTGCAAGACTTCTTCAGATATGCTGAAATTGAAGGTAACATCATTTTTCATTTTCCAACAGAGAGGTCCTCATTTCTACTTCTTCAGTATGTAGGCTCATCAGCTCATGCTCTGCAATTGCCAATCATGCATTCATTTTACCATATGGCACCAGTAGGGAAATCACCAAATTGGATCAGTCACTGTTAGTCCTCTACGGAAGGCTCAAATGCCAGTTTTAGAGTCAAAGTAATTATATTATGTACAATTTAATCACTAGACTTCTTCAAATATTCAGATTCAGGATATGGCATTCATATCTACAATTTACAGCATAAAATATGTTCTGATGTTATACATTATTTTACCACTGTATCTAGAAAATTTAGGTGAGCTACTATCAAAGATATGCCTATTAGACATTTTAATTGACCCATGCAACAACAGGGCGGTACAATCCTGTTATTTTTCCTGTCAGTACATTTTTAGTCAAGCTACGCTCTATCCATCTTACAATTTTCAAACTACAGTTCTAATTGGTACCTTAGCAACTCAGCATTCTGCATAACATAATGCAATGATACCTATGAAAAGGTTGCTCTTTTTATGTATTAGTTGGATCATAAGGTGATATTGTAACTGATGTTCTGCTGCTGCAGGGAAGCGGTTCTTTGAAGAGTTAGACAGAGATGGTGATGGCGAAGTCACTCTAGAAGATCTCGAAATTGCAATGAGGAAGAGGCGGTTACCAAGGAGGTATGCTCGAGAATTGTTCCGCCATACAAGAAGCAACTTCTTTTCGAAATCAATTGGGTGGAAGCAATTTTTATCCTTGATGGAACAGAAGGAGGCAACCATTCTCCGAGCATATACCACGTTGTGTTTGAGCAAGTCTGGAACACTTCACAAGAATCAAATTTTGACTTCCTTGAAAGGTGCTGGACTTCCGGCCAATGAAGATAATGCCGCTGCCATGCTACGGTATTTAAATTCTGATTCAGAAGGATCAATCTCATATGGCCATTTCCGGAACTTCATGCTTCTACTTCCTTCAGAACGCCTTGAGGATGATCCTCGGTATGTCTGATGTATCCTGTTAGAAGAAACCTATGCTTGAATTGGCTTTAGTGAATACTGACTCTTCAATTATCACCAATTCTGACTACCTTTCATCATTATATGTGCTCTCTTTTCCATCTTATATTTTTTATTCACTTACAAATGCATCCAGGAACATATGGTTTGAAGCTGCTACTGTTGTTGCTGTTACTCCACCTATAGAAATATCCACAGGAAGTGTTTTGAAGTCTGCTTTAGCTGGAGGTCTTGCAAGTGCGCTCTCTACCTCTCTGCTGCATCCTATTGATTCAATGAAGGTACAGTAGCATGCTTGTTTATACCATTTTAGTTCAAACAAGTGATTCAATAAAGCATGTTACATTGAATTAGAAACTTTCTATGTATAGTATCCCTTTTGAGATTTTCCTTTGTTATGATCCTGATTACGCATCACAAATCAATATGTATGTGGTATGCTAAGGCATTATCTGTAACCTCATGGCTTAGTATAAGATTTAAGTTCAATCTGCCGACCAAAATACCCAAATTCAATGGATTTACCTTTTTTGTGTATCAGACACGTCTCCAAGCATCTACGCTCTCATTTCCAGAGCTCATTTCAAAGCTTCCACAAATTGGGCTTCGGGGATTGTATCGAGGTTCTATCCCAGCAATTCTTGGCCAGTTTTCAAGGTCTGTACTATTTCACTGGTTTATATGCAAAACTTTTGTAGGCTACGAATTCAAATCCTATCATTTGCAGCCATGGTTTGAGGACAGGAATCTTTGAAGCAAGCAAGCTTGTATTAATTAATGTTGCTCCAACACTTCCAGAGATTCAGGTACGATTAACTACTCCAGTACTTCTTGTGCAAACTCTATATTCTCTACAATAAAGGGACTTTGATCCCACCTTGTAGAATAGAACTTTGTATTGGTAATAGAAACTTTCTGGTTTCTGCAATAATTGTTGTGCTTCGTGGAATTGCTTGATGATATGCTTTTTGTTCCATAGGTGCAATCAATGGCTTCCTTCTGCAGCACAGTCCTAGGGACTGCAGTCCGTATCCCTTGTGAGGTTCTTAAGCAGCGTTTGCAGGCTGGAATCTTCAACAATGTAGGGGAGGCAATTGTTGGCACCATGAGACAAGATGGTCCAAAGGGATTTTTCCGTGGCACTGGGGCCACACTCTGTCGCGAGGTTCCTTTCTATGTTGCTGGAATGTGCCTCTATGCAGAAGCTAAGAAGGTATCCTCAGTTTGTATTGATTCTATGTTTTCACTGGACCTTCAAAGTGGCATTCTCAAATCCCTATGTTGTTAACAAGTCAGCTACCTTTCTTAACTACCTTTCGCTGATTTTGTCGTTCCTCTGACTCCACAAAGGCAGCCTTGATGGTAGTTTGTTACTTGTATATGTAAATACCTGAATGACTTGATTTATTTCTTTATTTTTACACATGAAAGTTGGTACCAAATGGAGCTGTGTTAGGGGTAGAAATTCTCTCATTTCGTCAATTACCACTTACTAGTGCTACTGTCTGTCATAAGTTGTAAATAATAGCTACATCTGTCATGTTAGTACTACTATGCCTTGCATATTGACATATCTAATGATGACCGCCTTGGTTTTGCAGGCAGCACAACATATTTTGAAGAGAGACTTGGAAGCATGGGAAACAGTGGCAGTTGGGGCATTGTCTGGAGGACTTGCGGCAATAGTGACCACTCCCTTTGATGTGATGAAGACACGGATGATGACTGCCCCTCCAGGCACACCAGTGTCTATGCAGATGATAATCTTCTCCATCCTTCGAAATGAGGGTCCACTTGGACTCTTTAAGGGCGCGATCCCCCGCTTCTTCTGGATTGCTCCTCTTGGAGCAATGAACTTTGCAGGCTATGAGCTTGCCAAGCAGGCGATGATCAAAGATGAGAACAAGTCCAGTGAGTCAACACAAGAGAACTTGCCAAGAAAGCAGTGATCAAAGATGAGAGTGAATCCAGGGCGTCAATACAGGAGAAGAAAACCATGGTGGGCTCCACAGGATAATCTAACGTTTACCTGGTTAACACCTATGGAGCAAAGAAACTGAAACCATGTAACAGATTTTTTTTTTCTGTTCACGTTGCAGAGAAGCAACAGAACATCTGCCTTTTTTATATTTGAATCCAATTTTAGGTTGCCACGTCTTTTGCCCCTCTGGGAAATTTGCCGAATTTCCATTCCCGTAGGCCTTGAGATGGCTGTGTAGTACTAGAGGATAGAGTCACATGCTGGAGCTGTTGTTCTTTTGTTGGATAGGACAGCTCGCTTCTTGTTTGTTATTTAACGATGACCCATAGCCTTCCTTATAAACATGAATGATGTAAAGACTGACGAGGAAAATAAAGAACAAAGGATACTGATGTTGAAGATGGTCCTTGCACTGTTGGAGAGAATACACAGGTCATCCCAGAAAAGCTATGTAACCTGGTGTCACACCCGTGGCCACCGGCAAGGTGAGCTCGCCGCCGACGTGAGAGATCGAGGTGGCTCAGGGGTTCCCAACGCAGTGGCTCTAGAGGTAGCCCCGCCGCCGACGTGAGAGATCGAGGTGGCTCAGGGGTTCCCAACGCAGTGGCTCTAGAGGTAGCCCAAAAATCCACGTAGAATCAGAGATGCCATGTTATATAAAAAAGTATGTTCTGCCGTCATAGTTACCTCTAGAAACTACGTATACATGCTTAGGAGGAGAGAAGGTGGTGCATGCAAGAAAAGCAGAGGGAGAGAAGGTAAAAGTGACACATGATGAAACAAAAAAGGTTGAGACCACGAGCGGTGATAATTTGCATTGTGAATAGTAATCTCAATACTTGTTAGTATTATTTTATTTGTACCGAAACCCTCCGTTGCTCATGTCCTCACGAGCAACTTGCTTGGGTCAGGTCCTCGCGTTTTCTATTGTGTTTCGTGTTCTGGTTCTATTCCTTATAAGCCATCTCTTACAATAGCTGGCACGCAGGCCCACCAGTCATACTCAGAAATAGAAAGCTACTAGTACTACTCCGCCTCCTCTATAGCAATACGCCTGGATGATTTGCACAAGTTCTGGAAGATGGGGGGTGGGGTGGGGTGATGTCCTAGTGAACAGCCCTTCGATGAAAAGGAAGGTGAACCAGAGGGCCTCGTCCATAGTAAGCATCTTCTTCATCGTAGTAATCCTCGTCCTCCTCCTCGTCGTCGTCCTCATTATCATACCTGATGATATTGCATTCCTCCCACAGTGGGCAGGTGCAAGTTGCTTTCTTCTCCTTCCATTCACACCCACATGTGTAGCAGAATTCATAGCCGCACCTGCAACAACCAATGTGCGCAGCAGCAGACATGTCAGCAAGATTTTGGGCGTGTTTAGTTCACCCCAGATTCTCAATTTTGGCACTATGCAAAAAGAAGATTCCCCGTCACATCAAACTTGCGGTACATGCATGGAGTACTAAATGTTGACGAAATCAAAAACTAATTGCACAGTTTGGTTGTACTTTGCGAGACGAACGTTTTGAACATAATTAGTCAACGATTGGATAATTATTACCAAATAAAAACGAAAAGCTATTGTACCTCCATGAAATCCGGCGGCGCCGAATTGGGGACCAACTAAACGTGGCCTTTATAAGAAACAAACCTAAGCAGCAACATATTGATTGGCACCAGGATCAAATATAACAAATGGGCACCATAAATAAACAAGAATAAAGACTTACACACAAGTCATATGGTAGCAACCTTCTGCGAATTCAATCATGTGCCTGCATCTCACACATTACCGCCACAGCCGCTGTTGTGCAAGGTTCAGTAACTTGGCATCTTCTGGACGGCCATGCGGGTACCTTCTCTTGTAATCATTGCAAGTCATCCTATCATGCCAGGGGACCTTACATCTGAAGCAAAAAGAGCCTCTGCATTTCACACACTTCCTCAAGGTGACAACATCAGCAACAGTGTACTTTGAGCAAGTTCCTTGCATTGGCTTCATCAGCTCACTCAAGGACATCAAGGCTGAACACTTGGGATAAGGGCAGTAAATCTTTTGGGTTGGAGGGATTTGCTCTTCACTGATACGCTGTGCCATGATCTCTAATAGTTGAGGTGATAGGAATACCTTGGAACCCTCTACAGTTAGCTTGGAAGTGCAGCCATTTCGTGGGCAAGATGGGAGTGTTCCATGGAGCAGCTTAATTCTCACATGTTCCTTCATGCACGACAAGCAAAAGCCTTCAACAGCATGAATCAAATACTACCATTTTTGTTATTTCTCACCTTTTTCCTTTGTAACTTGAGATTTCCCTATATTTTTTATATGTTTGAAATTGAAGGCTCAAATATTTTTTTACAATTTTTTAAACTTCGATTATTTGTTGATCTTGATATGCATTGTTCCAATTCTTAAAATTTATTTAGTTTCACAACATATATCATGCTCGGTTGTAAATCTTCTTTTTGTTACCTAGTTTTTTTTATTTCATCACCTTACCATTTCTTTTTCCTAATTAGCATTCATGAAAGGAACTAAGATTTGAGTCGTCTCTCCTAGAATTTGATTTTAGTTACTATGAATTTATACTAGATTTACACTTTACTCAGGTTTATGTTATGGTGATTATTTTGGTATAATTTCTAGGTAGTATTAGTGTAACTTAATATTAATGTGAAGATTTGTGTTTTTCTCAATTGTATTGTTATTTGAAATTTTCCTATTTTGACATGTTTGGTTAATTGAAGGCTCAAATATTTTGTTATTTTGCAATCCATAATAAACTTTTGTATTTTGTAACTTTGATTATTTGTTCTGTTGCATATGCTTTGGTATAATGCTTAAAATTGAAGGCACTCTATTTTTGTTAATTTGCAGTTCATAGAATAATATGTGTTTCTTTGTTTTTTCTAATTTTTTTGTCATTTGAATTTATCTGTTTTGATATGTTTGATTAGTTGAAGGCTCAAATATTTTGTTATTTGGCAATTCCTAATAAAATTTTGGATTTTGTAACTTTGATTATTTGTTCATTTACATATGCAAGTTCCAAAACTTGAAAATTATTTAGTCTTACTATATTGCTCGGATGCAAATGTTCTTTCTGTTACCTAATTTTTGCTTTCATCTCCTTTCCATTTATTTTTCCTAATTAACATTCATGAAAGGAACTAAAATTCGCTCAAATTCTTCTCTCCTGGAATCTGATTTTAGTTACTAACTCAGAAAAGCTATCGTTTACCTGAGTAATTTGTTTACATTCGTCACACAAATTCTTGTTCATCCGATTTGATTTTGCCCCCATCGTGATGTCCTATACGGTGTCCAATTTATTTTAAAATTTTGCTCAATGAGAACACGTGCGCTGGGCACGTGGTGTTTGGTAGCTAGTCCCTTTGGTCACTGGGATGGTCGCTGCTTTCGTGAACTGCCTATCAATTACCTGCCTAGTACTAGTACTATGTATTATTATATAGACTATGAATTAATTTTTCCATTTACACTAGAGTTCAACTATACTTACGGTCTTTAATCAGGTGTAATTGGTAGGTATTATGAATGTATGTAATACTAATTGGAAAAGTTTATTAGGCACATGTGTGTCTCATAGTTTTATTGCATTGTACCTTACTTTGATTTGTTTGTTTGATCCAATGCCGTCAAAATCATTTTGTTTTTTGCATTCCATAGAATTTTTTTGCTTTTTTGTACTTTGTATATTTTTTGTTTTGTTTGTTTCATGCAATGCTCTCATATTGTTTTTGGTATTTGCAATCCATACAAAAATTCTGTTTTTTGTATTTTGCTTATTTTATTTGATATGTTTGGTTTATCCAATGGCCTCCGAAAGTTTTTGGTTTTTGCATTCCATACAAAAATTTTTGTTTTCCGTAGTTTGTTAATTTCTTTGATTTTCTTGGTTCTTGCAATGGCCTGAGAATTTTGTTTTGATAGTTTTTTTCGTTTGTTTTGTGTCCAACTACTTGGATCTCACTAATTGGCAAGGTGTAAATGTTGTTTGAAGTTTATTTTTCCTATAATAATTCATGTTTTATTCTATTTTTTGAAATGTCATTCAGGTTTTTTTTATTTGCAGTTTTGATTTTTTGATTATGTGTTTGTTCCTTGTCATCTTGCTTTCTTCTTGGCAAATTTACTTTTTTATGGACTATGATTTTTTTTTTCATTTACACTAGAATTGAACTATACTTACAGTGCTTAATCAGGTGTAATCGCTATGTATTATTGATGTAGGTAATACTAAGTGAAAAAATTTAGTAGTTGATTTGTTTGATTCATCCATAGAACAATTTTTTTTTGTTCTTAGTTTTCTCTATATCATTTGTTCTTGTTATTTTAAATATTTAATTTACAAGGTTTATTGTATTTATGATTTAGCAAATTCTTGCTATTATTGATCGTGCATGAAGGTGTTCCGAGGGAATGCAAAATTCGTGTGATTTTAACTCCTGTTTCACTTGAATTGTGGTTCTAGTTAGTTTTGAGTGATTTGACCTTTAGGATTATTCATGTGATCATAGGGCCTCGATCACTCAGATTTTGTTTTTGGTTCCATTTGTGTGATTTGTTCCCTCAAACTACTTGAGTGATCCGAGGGGGTAAAATCACCCAAGTTCCAAATAGACAGGTCTTTTTAAAAGCCGCTGGCTGGTTTTGTTTGAATGAAAAAGCCAAAAGGCCAAACGGGTGGACGAGGTCGCCGTGGACACAAGAGAAGGCGCAGGCCAACAAGATTGACCTTGAACTTGTCGACTCTCTCTCAGGTGGAGGTGAGGCGTCCAAGCAACCTTTCTTGTTTGCCAATTGCCATCATCTGTCTCTCGGGAAACTAGCTCCGGCCGGCCGCCTTCCAAATTCCAGTTGGATGGAGGCGAAGAAGGCGATCCAGCCCCACTGCAGTGCGTCTCCGTCGAGTCGGATTTGGACTGGATTCCCCTGCACCTAGAGCTGCAGGCTTCGCTTCGCTTCGCCTGCTCTGGTCGATCCAACCATCCACCGACGACCATCTCCTCTCCTTCTTGGCTCCCGGCGTGCTCAGCTCAGCTTCGTCCATCCCAAATCCCTTCCATCAGGTAGGTCACCAAGATAATTCCTACCCTTCAGGAATAACCCCGCCTGATTTATTTATTGTTTTAATGATTATTCTCCCTAGCTAATTGTCTTAATTATTGCTTTTCTTCTTCTCCTATAAATAAAATCTACAGAGTATTTATGTAGGAGTATGTGTGTAGCGTTTCATTTACCTCCTAACTACTAGATATTACCATGAAAATTAACCTTGTAATCCTTGTGTTAGCATGAAACTGAACTTCTGAATGGAATCCATGTGGTTACTTCAGAAGGAAGGGTTTTTCCTCTCTGCCATCCTTCAACTAATAGTTTAAATAATTGTGTTAATCCTTGATTATGTAACACGAAACAGAGAGTTACAAAGTGAACGTCTTGTAACATCACAACGCAGCACTAGCTATTTCATTTCACGAAACTCGATTCAAGCCAACTAATAATTACAAGTTAGCTAGTGCTTTCTTGTATGTACGGTACGGCTGTATAGGTGTACGTACTCTACTGTACTGACACTGAGTATTCATTATTAATTTGGCAATTTACTTGTAGATTGAGGCTATGAGCAGCTGCTGCTGCTTCCATCCATCAGAGCTCCTCGTCATCAGTTAGTTGGTACAAGATGGTCGTTTTGGGTGGTGCCGATGATCCGAGGCACAAAATTGGTGACAGTGTTGTTGATCATTCACGCCAACAACATCCAGCAGGATTACCGGAGAAACCCAGTAATGTCAGTCCAAATAATGACAATGGAAATCCATTTGACCACATGCAGAATTCAGTCTCCGATGCATACAAGTACTACTACGATCCACCATCCGAATCTGATTGGCAGTCCACCTCATCACCTTCCTCCACTCGACAAATGCTTGGAGATGAGCGCAGAAATATTGGCTCGTCTGTCCGCTCGTCAGTAGGATCGTCATCTCATCAGAGGCCATCATCTTCAACATCAAGACGTTTCACGGTGCCCTTTGTGAAGAAGATCGACTGGAGCTCCCTGTGGGACAAGTCCAAGGAGTGGATTCGGAACCCCATGAACATGGCTCTGTCCGTCTGGATCCTCGCCGTGGGCGTCTCTGGCGCCATCCTCTTCATGGTAATGACTAGGATGCTCAACCGCGTCCTGCCAAGCAAGCCGCAGCGAGACACGTGGTTCGAGGTGAACAACCAAATCCTGAACGCGCTCTTCACCCTCATGTGCCTGTACCAGCATCCAAGGAGGTTCTACCACCTCGCCCTCCTATGCCGCTGGAGAGCCGGCGACATGCATCAGCTCCGGCAAGTATACTGCAAGGACGGCACCTGCAAGCCCAACGAGAGGAAGCATCTGATGGTTGTCATCCTGCTGCTCCACTTAAACTGCTTTGCTCAGTACGCTCTGTGTGGCCTGAACCTTGGTTACCGAAGACCACAGCGTCCGGTGATTGGAGTTGCCCTCACCATATCGGTTGCCATCAGCGCACCGGCCGTTGCCGGCCTGTACAATAACCTCAGTCCTCTTGGCAAAGACTACGAGGCCCAGCCGGAGGCAGACGACGAAGAGTCACAGCTCCAACGGAAAACAACCGAGACCGAGAGGAGGTACTCATTGGTGCCACGACAAGGCCATGGCGAGTCCGCTGGCAACCCACCGCAGTGGGTCGGTGGGCTGTTCGAGGATCTGTGGGAGGATATGTCGCTGGCATACCTGTCGGTGTTCTGCAGCTGCTGCGTGTTCGGCTGGAACATGAGCAGGCTCGGCTTGGGCAACATGTACGTCCACGTCGCTACCTTCGTGCTCCTGTGCCTCGCGCCATTCTTCATCTTCGACCTGGCGGCCATCAGCGTGGACGACGAGGCCGTCAGGGACGCGCTGGGGCTGGCCGGCGTCTTCCTCTGCGTGCTCGGCCTGCTCTACGGCGGCTTCTGGAGGATCCAGATGCGCAGGCGGTTCAGCCTCCCCGAGAACCGCGCCTGCTGCGGCAAGCTTGACCTCACCGACTGCATGCTGTGGCTCTGCTGCTACTCGTGCGCTCTGGCGCAGGAGGTCCGCACGGCCGATGCCTACGAGGTGGTGATGGTGCAGGACACGCTGCAAGACAAGCGGACAATGCCGATGCATCACCGCCGCCATCCGACTCTGCAGGAAGAGCTGTCGATGATGCAGGAGCCCCTCAGGTTTGCAGGTGCCTTCGCTTCAACAGCTGCTGCTGATGCAAGATCAGTAAACGACGGTGTCACCGTGCCCCCTTCGTCAGTGTCAGCTACACGTATATAGGCAGTAGTGGCAACTTGGGACTTGGGAGTAGTTTCATTTAACCCATGTAATGTAACCCTACCCATGTACAGTGCCTACGGAGTACTTCCTATGTGGTAGCAGAATGAGTTGCCTCTCTGCACTTATAGTAGTGATGTGACACATTAATTTGATTCTCTCAAGATCAGGTGTCATTTCAATGTATCCATACACCCCAATCCATGCAATCTATTAGAGCAAGCAACGCGAAATCAACATTGTATTATGAAAGAAGTAATTCTTGTTCAACTACAAACTCTGGCCTTGTGTTGATATATGGCTCCCAGGTGCTCCAGCTCCTCCTAGGAAACACTGTGGGAGCACTATAGCACGGAGTGGTTTATTTTCTGACTAAAAAATGAACTTGAAAGAGGACCCTACAGAGCCACGATTTTGAGCTCTACCGGCTCCGTGATACAATGCTGCTACAGTAATAGCCGGCGCCAGAGCACACACTAAATGCCCCCTCAATGTACATACATGTTTTAGTTGCTCTATTACCAACTCAAAATCTACCTACACGAAACATCCTCCTATTCATAGCTAATGGATCGGAGTACCACTAAGGGCGTGTTCGGTTAGCAGGATTTCAACCAGGAAGCAATCCCGCTCATCAAAGATTATACAAATTAGAGAAGGAAGCCAGCCAGGAATCATTCCATGCCACCATTCCATGGGAACCGAACGTGCCCTAAAATAATTGAATTAATTCAGTCCAAAGAAACTAACGACACATGCCTCCCCACTCCCCAGCATGTTGGTAGTGGGAAACACCCTCCTCGTCTCCTGCCTGCTAATCCCGTGCAGCGCCTGCATGCTCGATTTTTTGTTTGCTTCTTCTCTTTGTTATTAAAAAAAATAAACAAATAAATAAATACAACCAAAAAAGAGATATCTGTCTAAAAACATGAGATAAAGCTGAAATTTAATAGAGAACAAAA